TGGAGTATCTGAGCTCATAAATTTGTGTCTTTTCCTCAGTGTTTCACTTTGCTGTTACCCATCCTCCAGGAGAGATGCTAATGCACCACTTCCATTTCCCCGAAAGGCACATCTCTTGTCATATGCTTATGTGCGTGTATCTTGCATGAGTTGGATACCCACTCCCTTTCATGCCCCATTATTCTCATTTTGATTTCTTACATCCAATCTTCAGGTCTTGGCTTAGACGTAATTTGTCAGGCAATTTTTCATGATCCTCCAGAATTAGGATGTTTTGTATTTATTTTGTCAGGTGTCTAAAATTCTGTGCAGCATTTACTTATGTAATTGTCCACTTATTCTTCCTCTGCAATCTTTGAGAGGAAAGGCTATGTCTGTCACATGCATCATAATATTCATCTAGAGCAGTATCCACTGCCACAACATGTGTATTTGCTAAATGAAAGAATGATTTAGTACGTTAGGTAATTACTAAATTACTCCTTCCCCTGAGTAATTTAGTGGCTATGGATATAATTCAATGTGTATTGGAAAACAGTAAATTAATAAAACAGTTATTTTTTAAAAAAATGAGAAGGTGAGATTGAGTGTACATTCTAAGTGATGTTCATCAAGAAAATGCTGCAAGGGGACCACACAGGAGGGAGGCAGGGGAGTGGTCACAAGAAGCAACACGAAAAATCACCGTTGGGTATTAGGGCTCAGAAGAAGTAGAACAACTTAACCAGGGATAAAGGCAGTCGGGAATACATCTGATAAAATTACCCTGGAGGAAACAGTCCCATAGAAAACTGAAAAGTTTTTTTAGTTTATTTATTCAAAAGAGTTACAGAGAGAGGTAGAGACAGAGAGAGAGGTCTTCTATCAGCTGGGTCACTCCCCAGATGGCTGCAATGGCCGGAGCTGCACAGATCTGAAGCCAGGAGCCAGGAGCTTCTTCCAGGCCTCCCACGTGGGCGCAGGGGCCCAAGGACTTGGGCCATCTTCTGCTTTCCCAGGCTATGGCAGAGAGCTGGATCAGAAGAGGAGCAGCCTGGACCAGAACCGGTGCCCATATGGGATGCCAGCGCTTCAGGCCAGGGCTTTAACCCACTATGCTACAGCGCCAGCCTCAGCTGAAAAGTTTAATTTGGATTGAATATGGGGGTGGCAACTTTGAAAGTGGTCAGGACAAGATCGTGAAACTGTAAGGACAATGTGGTGAGCAGGAGGTGTCTCATGGTTTTTCGAGCAGTCGTCACTTCAGAGTCTTCTGGAGTGGCAGCGAAGTGAAGAGACATGGATATCAAAGTTTGTAATTGCCACCCTTTGGGACATCTCTGTTATTTTCCTGGGTCAGGGCTAGTTTTGAACTGGAGAAATGAATCAAGTCAGAAAAGCATGACAGGTTAGCAGCTATGGTAGTTAAAGTGACCCAATAATGTCCACTCCAACTCGATGAGAGTGGCTTTGAATTGAGGTTTTAGTGGAGAGAGGTCCTTAAGAGATATTTTTATGGGAGTGGGTATATATGGGCCCTTCAGTTTTCTTCTCTATCTCTATCTGGGACATTGCTGGGTGGAGGGCTTCCTGGGTATAGAATTCTTGAAATTTTTCCCAAAAGGCTTTATAATAAACTCAACAACCCCCTTCATATAAGTTGGGGAAAGTTTTTCCTAAATACCCTGGGAGAAGGTTGGGACTCGGCCAACAAGACTGTTGGACACAATTTGTAATTTTTGGTCCTAATAACCCCTTTGGTGCAGGGTGGGAGATTTTCTTAGCCTGCCCCATGGGCAGGACTGGACCCCAGCTTGACAAAGTTATGAACAAGGGCCAGACTTTTGTGATTTGGCAACACAGAATTCCCATTTTTTTTTTTTTAGCCACTCTTTCACATATAGGCTAATATCTACCTAGCTAGGAATAGGAGAATTCAGAAATTTATAGTAGTACCTGTAATGCCACCAAGGACTCTGGCTGTCCCCCTAATAGCAATGCAAGGCTGACTGAAGAGCCTCTTCAGCAAAGGGCTGGCTTCAACTCCCGGGGCAGTATCACTTCCAGTGACCAGGTTTTTTGGCAGAGTGCAATGTAGCCTCCTTGAAAAACAGCATCTGTCATGGCAGAAGTTTGTTCAATGCCCACAAAATAGCATGTTTTTGCATCACACTATTTTGTGGATGTGTTAGGTAGGAAGTCAGAAATGAGCTTATGTGTGTGTGTTGACATCTAGGTCCAGCATCCACATCTCAAAGTCATCTCAATAACCTTCCAGGTGCAGCCCAGTATCTGCACTTCAAAGGCTTTGCCCCTTCTACCCGATAACCATTCTTCCTCTAAGGCTCCTCTAAGGCGGGGCGATGCTAACAAGGCTTCCTCCTGTCTGATAACTTCAGGGGGAAAACTCAGAAAGGAGTTTTTCATATTTACATCCAAAAAGTCCTTCTTCAGGAGGAGAAGAAGAGGCAGGAAGATAAGACCCATCCCCTTAAAAACTGCACGCTCAGCCCTCTGCCTCTCTGCTGAGCCACCCGCCTGGCCTGCCCAGGTGTATTCTCTCCATTCAGTGATGTAACCTCACTCTCCCCCAGTCTGAGCGACCGGGCACTCTCAGATATGTCTGGAAAGGTGCCCATGCGTTCTTATGGATGTCCCTACCCTAATAAACCTTGCTATTTTGCTTTCCACTTACTCTGTCTCACACCTGAATTTTCTTGCACGAAGACAAGAACCCTTGCTTCTCCGGTAACAGGTGTACTGGCCTAGTTGGGTTTCCTTGATGGCAAATTACCACATAAACCAGCTGTTAATCCTTTTAGGATCAAACAAGTCAGTCGCTTTGAACCATCCATCTACCTATTATTATGGTAATGGATTTTATGTTCTGGACTGAGGGGGTAATTTCCTATGCAGGAAAAATGGCTGGAAATGTTAGGACAAAAAGTGTCTGTAACCTGTTTTCCTTAATGTCTTTGGCTGCCTAAAAAGAGGATAGGGCAGGGTTGCCAGCAAGGATGGAAATGTGATTGGGGAGATTTAGCCAGCTCCCTGTCTTGAGTGTTTGAAATAGGACATGACCCCCTAAAGTTTACAAAAATGTGGCCCCTTAAAGTTCCCCAGAAGTGCTATCTGGGGTGCCACATGCTACCGGAATTTGGGGTACCTTACGATTTCACCACGGGCTTATTACTAAATCCCCAATATTAATAAGCCCGAGAGGGTTCTTGTCTAATATTTAGAGAAGAATTCTAAATACTGGCACAAATAAACGAGGCAGCATGGCACATTTTAGGCTTTTATTTAGTGCGAGAGGTATCTAGGAAAGTGAGGGCTTTAGTTCAGGTTGCAGAGAGGGGAAAGTCTGGAAACTAGGGTAGCATCCATACCACTCAGAGAGCAGGCCAAAAGCCACGTGCAGCAAGCACCTTGAGCTGCTATCCACCGCTTATCACCAGCAGCAAAGCAGAGGCAGAGCGCATTTTGGGACACTCCTTGCCTTTTTATATATTTTCCACAAGGGAGTGACTTGTGGGCAGGTGGGCACTCAGGTATGGTCAGGTAGAGCCTGATGTCACGTGGGGGCATGGAAAAGGTACCAGGTAGGATGTAAGGTCACACAGGGGCATGGCAAAGGTGTGGTCTTCCAGCTCACAAACCTAATCCATTTCTGTTCTTATAAAGGTCTGAGGAGCCAGGTGGTTTAATAGGAAGTCAATGGAATTCAGAGTGCAGAATATTTGCTTCCTTCCCCAAAAGGTTAACTTTAGCAAGAACCAGCAAGCCGCCCTCCTTCCTTTGCTCCAAATTTACAATGAGAATAGCAAGGGAGCTCTTCCTGAGCTCACAGCTTATGGTGAAAACAAGTTACCTACTCTACCCTTCTGTGTGGTTTTTTGTTTTAGCGGGCCAGACAGAATGGAGAATTGCAAATCAGGCTTTTTGATGGGTTTTTGTCCCTGCCTGGTAACTGAATACCAATCTGAATGTCAAGTTTTTTTCCTTCAAAATTGTACTTAAAAACCTTTGGGGCCTTTTGGGTTCTTTCTTCTCTTGGAAGCCCCCCTCCAAGCCACTAAGGCTGGAGGGCTTTGATTCTAATAAATACTTTAAAATCTCTTTGCTATCTGCTTGGAAATTCTTCTTCCCTGTGAGACAAAGAACTGAGGTAACAATGATTTCTCCACTGTTGTTTTCCCATAACAAAGAGACTGCAAGCAGGGTGCATTTGGGACTCAGGTTTTTATAAAGGTTAGGAGGGGTTAGTTTGCCACTACGGGGTAGGGGAGGTGTAGAAGGCAGCTGGTGGAAGAGTAGGGGGCTCTTTGAAGTCTCAGGGAATTTCCCTCTTATCTGTCTCATAGCTACCCCTTGCAGCTTCTCTGTTTTTCTGTTTGCATTGCAAGGATTTGAGAAGGGTCCGGTTAGAGACCAAGGACCTCCACAAGAGAGAGGAAGTGGAGTGGGGAGTTGGGGGAGAAGGGGGAAGTGCATGCGATATCAGCATATGAACCCATCACTTCGGATAGTTAAATTTAAACATGTCAGGAACGAAGAGGTAGAGAATCAGATAATACTGCTATCTTTTCAGGGCTCACTTTAAAATAATTTCCTTCTAATCTCACCCAAACTAATTTCACACAGCACTCAACTTCCACAAACCTTCTACAACATGTGACTCCTTCAGTTCTGCTCTATCAAGAGTCTTTTAACCTTCCACCACCAAGAATGCATTCTCATGCTTATGGCTTCATCCACAACTTTCTTTCCTACCTGCTGGTTCTTGCAATTCACATCCCAAACAATCCTCAACATCTTTTAAAAGAACAGAGTTTTTTTTTTTTTTTAATTTAAATGCATTTTATTTTTAGACAACCTACATGACAATGTTTTTTGCCTTAAAAACAATGCCTCCACTTGAAGTAAATCATGGTCAAAATAAGTGAGGAGCTCAAGATAACATCAGTCCCACTTCCTGTAAATCCTGGTATTGTGTGGATGACAAGCAGCAGCCAGTTACGATGAGCAGTGATAGATCCAAATTGCTAACTTTGTTAACATTTTTCCATCTCTAAACCATCCTTAAAGAAAATCATAAACGGGGTCACACCATCCTCACGGTAGTCCAGCAGAGCAACCATGCCATCTGGATTCATGTTTTCACCAATATAGAACTGGTAGTTTTTGAAATTAGCAAGGATGTGCTTGATTTGTTCTGCAGCCCCTGTCATAAAAGGTTTTACTCTCTCTGGTCTCTGTTCTTCAAGTTTGCCTTTGATTGATTTCATGTAATCCTTGATGTACTTCTTGTAGGCTTCTTTTGTGAAGCTGGTTTCCTGCAGGTGATGGTTCATGACAATATCAACACCAGTGATCACTGTGCTTTCGGTACCTTCGCCCTCCGGGCCTTCGGCGGAGGCATTCCCACCGATGAGCGAATCATCAATGTTACCCTCTGTCCTACTGACCATCTTCCCCTCCACCTCCAGGCACAGTCCGCCCGCGATCTCCCGGATCTTGTAGATGTCGGAGAACATCTCATCGTGGCTGATGAGGTCCCGGTAGATAATCATGATGGCGGCTGGTAGGAGACGACGACGGCGGCGCTAGCTTGGCAGGAGCCCGGAGCTCAGAGCGAGCGCGGTGCAGCAGGAGCGGCCCTCGGGGGTAGGGGGGAGCGGGCGGAAAAGAAGAAGAGAGTTTTTAACCCATATTTACTTTAAAGCAGTTTTTGAATTTTGAAACTGCTTAAGCAGTTTTTTTAACATTGGAGAAATTAAGTTGTTTTACTAAGGTGTTGTGAATGCTAGGAGTATCAGGAAAATAATTAGCCTAGGAAACAAGACATTTAAACATTATACTGCTACAGAAACCTGGGGTGGGAAAACTCCCTTTGTTCAAACTGGCACCAGAGTGCAGGATTGAGAGCAGTTTATTAATGCCAGCGGGCTCAGTGGGAATCATTTTCTGAGAACTGAGAATCAAAGCCAAGTTTCTTAGAATATTTATAAGTTCATCAGCATCATACCTTAACTGTTACAGCATTTGTTATGTAGGAAATTAGAAATTTAGCCCAGGAGAATTCCCTCTCCTCAGGACCAAATGGGTTACCTGACCTGATAACATGGGGCAACACAACCTTCTCAGATGCCCTAAGGGGAGCCCCCCTACTCTGCCTGGGGTGCCAACAAATCTGGGGAGAAATTAGCTGATTTTCATCCAACAAACCCTTCTGTCAGTACTCCCCATCCTTTGTCCTGGAGGAGAGGGGGAGGTGGGTAAACAGACTCCCTCTGGACGCTCTCTCTGTCCCTTCCATTCTGATGCCCTACCCCCAATAAAGCCTTATCACTCTGCTCTCTGTCTCACACCTGAACTCTTTCTTGAGTGAAGACAAGAACCCCACGGCTTCCATGGCCTTCCCTCCAGTAATACATTGATGGTTTTAAATTGCAGCCTACATGATTTAGTGTTATGGACAATGATCAAAGAAACCAAAAGGCACTTGAGGCTTCAGGAGGAAAGGCACACTGTTTATTTACACACACAGGCTTGGCAAGACTCATGTTTCAAAAAGTCAAGCCCCAATCTTCTGTCTTTCCCTACCTTTATACCCTAAATATAGCAAGGCAGTTTTGAGGCAGTTTTGGGGCAATTTGGAGAGTACACTGTTATCCTAGACCCTCAGGGACTAACAAATCACAATTGCAAAGTAGGATACTTTTATGATACAGGACCCAGTAAATTTATAACTTAAAGCCAATTTTAGGAGGCACCAAACTATTGTATCTTAGGTATAAGGCTAGCCTTAGGTATGGGACTGACTATGGTGATTGGGGAACAGGTTTCTAAAGGCAGTATTGTTAACGATTTACTTATTAATGATCTGAAATATTAATTTTTTTACAGGCAGAGTTAGACAGAAAGAGAGAGAGAGACAGAGAGAATGATCTTCCTCCCATTGGTTCACCCCCCAAATGGCCACTACGACCGGCGCGCTGGGCCAATCCGAAGCCAGGAGCTAGGTGCTTCCTCCTGGTCTCCCATGCGGGTACAGGGCCCAAGCACTTGGGCCATCCTCCACTGCACTCCCGGGCTACAGCAGAGAGCTGGGCTGGAAGAGGAGCAACCGGGACAGAATCCAGTGCCCCAACCGAGACTAGAACGCAGGGTGCTGGTGCCGCTAAAGTGCCTAACAGCATGACAGGTAACCTGGACTTCACAGTGACAGCATTGACATAGTGACCTTCAAAAGAACAACAATTCCTTTTCTAGATTTCAGACCTTCAGATTGATAATTCTTGTCATTTTAATTTCATTTCCTGAAAGTCAGGGTCAACTTGTGAAAAGTTGTGAAACATGCTAAACTTGTATCCCTGGTACCCAGATTGAATTCCTGGCTCCTGTCTTTGGCTAGGCCCAGCCACAGATGTTGCTGACATTCTGGGAGTAAAGAGGCAGATGTAGACCACTCTTATTTCTACTTCTCCCTGTCTCCCTGGTGTTCAGAAGTATATTAAATGAAGAAAAAATTTAAATATAAAATGAGGAGAGAATAAGAGCTAAAGTTTAAAAACAAGCACTACTATGGGTGTTTAGTGCAGCAGTTACCACTTGGGAGGACCATATCCCATATCAGAGTGCCAGGTTTGGGTAAGGCTACCTCACTTCTGATCCCAAGGATTAATCTTATGATTATAAAATAAACTTAAAGTATGTCATTGTAAAAATTAAAAGAAAGAATAAGAAAGGAAGGAGGAGGGAGAGTTGGAGGGAAGGTAGGGTGGGCAGTGTCTCTATGCTCCTAAATCTGTATATAAAAAATACATGAAATTTGTTCAATATATATGTGTGTGGGCAGGTGGGTGTATCAAGAGAGAATGGCAGGGGCCGGCATTGTGGCATAGTGGGTAAAGCTGCCGCCTACAGTGCCAGCATCTCATATGGACACTTGTTCTAGTTCCGGCTGCTCCTCTGATCCAGCTCTCTGCTATGGCCTGGGAAAGCAGTAGAAGATGGCTCAAGTGCTTGGATCCCTGCACTCACATGGGAGACCCAGAAGAAACTCCTGGCTCCTGGTTTTGCATCAACACAGCTCTGGCCTTGCCAGAACCCTCCTCCCCCCCATAACTCTCTCTCTCTCTGCCTCTCCTCTTCTCTGACTTTCAAATATATAAATAAACCTTAAAAAAAAAAAAAAAGAATGGGAGAAAATGTTCCAAGTCTTGGGAAGCAAATAGAAATCTACATTCAGGGTACCAAAGTACACCAAATAAGATGAACCCAAAGGGACCTACACTCACCAAGGCACATCACAAGCCAATTGCCATATGAGAGATATTTGAATGCAACAATGGAAATATAACTTGTTAAGTACAAATGAATATGCATAAGACTATAAGCACATTTTGAAGGAGAAATTTTGAAAGAGGAAAAGAAGGATGTGGTAAAAGTCTGAAAAGAAATGAACAAAAATATTGAACACCAAGGGGCCATCATTGTGGCATAGCAGGTAAAACTGCAGCCTGTGACTTTGGTATTCCACATAGGTGCTGATTTGTATCCCAGCTGCTCCACTGTCAATCCAGCTCCCTGCTAATGACCTGGGAAAAGCAGTGGAAGATGGTCCAGTGGAAATGGCCATCTGGGAAGTGAACCAACTGGTGGTTGATCTCTCTCTTTTTCTCCCGTGTGTCTGTAACTCTGACTTTCAAATGAATAAATAAACAAAAAAATGATGTACATTGGCAGCATAGACACAATTTTTAAAAAATGGACACCAAGTATACTATACCCAGCCACTTTGCATTTCAATAATGGAGTTAACACGGAGACTTTCTAAGAAAAAAAGGGGAACTGCTCTAAAAAGAAGAAAAAGCAGCTCTTCAAGAAAAAGGAAGAGAATGTTAACTAATAAAATGTAAACATATGAGAAAGTGTAGTACTCATGGGTAAAAGTAATTTAAATGACTAATACTAATGGTGAATAATACTAATACTAACACTAACACTAATACTAATACCAATGGTGATGAGTAAATCAGTTATATCTGTGATATAAAGGTAAATCACCAAAGCAATTAAAAGAAACTATAGGTAAAATATTTTCTGAGGGCTACAAATTACGAAAAGATAAACTGTGACTTTAAAAACATAAAATGTGGAAGGAGGGACAATAAAAGAATTTGTGTATGTGATCCAAGTTAAGATTATAAAGTGAAAGTAGCATGTTATGAGATGTTTTATACAATCTTCAGGGTAACCACAAGGCAAAAGTCTATAATATGAGTGATCTTCTGAAAGTTTATGGAAAACGTGTATCAGGAAAAGCTATGCATGTATTTCAAATTTTTTGCACCAAAATAAATAGCTTTTAATTTTTATAAAATTTTATAATATCATTATAGAAAAAAAAGAAAGATTCAGTGCACACCACTTGTAAAAATATCAAACCACAAAGAGAGCAAAAAAAGAGCAGTGGATATACAAAACAACCAAGAAAAGAACAGTCACTTGTAAATCCTTATTCCTCAATAATTATTTTGAATATGAATGGATTAATTTATCAAGAGAAAAGGCATAAAGTAGTTGAATAGATAGCAAAGGAAGAGCCACCTCTATGCTGACTACAACAGGCTCACTTCACCTTAAAGGACAATACTGGATTGAAACTGAAGGGATAAAGTGATATTCAATTAAAATGAAAATCAATACAAAATATATTTTAGGTAAAATTTTAAAAACAGGGGAAGGCATTATGGTACAATGGATTAAGCTGCTACTTGTATCCACCTGCATCCCAAAATAAGAAAGCTGATTGAAGTCCTGGTACCTCCACTTCCAATCCAGTTTTCTGCTAATGCATCTGCAGAGGCAGCAGATAATGGCTCAGGTGCTTAGGTCCCTATCATCTATGTGGGAATCTTGGACAGAGTTCTGGATTCCTGGAATTAGCATCATCCAGCCCTGGCAATTGCAGACTTCTGGGGAGTAAACCAGCAGACATAAAATCTCTGCCTTTTCAAGTAGACAAAAAGAAATATGCATTTAAAAATTATACTTAACATTTTTTTAAAAAACTTTAAGAAGAAAAAGATGATCATTGTATAGTGATAAAGGTGTCAGTTCCTCAAGAGAACATAAAAATTGCATATATATATACAGCCAACATCAAAGCACTTAAGTGTATAAAATAAGAGATCTGGAAGGCAAACTGGAGCACAATGAGAGTATAGGAATTTCAGGGTTGGCGCTGTGGTGCAGTGGATTAAGCCACAGCCTGCAGTGCTGGCATCCCATGTGGGCACTGATTCAAGTCCTGGCTGCTCCAATTCTGATTCAGCTCCCTGCTAATGTGCCTGGAAAAGCAGGGAAGATGGCCTAAGTCCTTGATCCTCTGCACTCACATGGGGGACTCAGCAAAAGCTCCTGGCTCCTGGCTTCAGCCTGGTCCAGCTATGGTCATTGCAGCCATTTGGGGAATGAACCAGTGGATGGAAGATCTCTCTGTCTCTCCTGACCTCTGTCTGAAACTCTGCTTCAAAAGTAAATAAATAAATCAATCCATCCACTGGTTCATTCCCCAAATGGACACAATGGCTAGAACTGAGCAGATCCAA